CAGAGTTCCACCGGAATGTTTACGGGAAATACACTACTGGACTGTAACGCCCGACCCGGGAAGACAACTTTTGTCCTTGCTTCGCGCAAAAAGATCGATCCGAAGTTAATAGCCTCCTAGGTCCATGCTTTTAAGCTGGTTCGGCACTGTCTCTAGTTCGATGTGGGACTAAGGGAGTGTTCGGCTGGACTTTAAAAACATTGTTCATGCTAGGTTTTTTTTAGGAAAATCACTGTTCGGGCTAGAAAAAAAAGAACAGCCAAGCTAAATCTGTCCAGCCGAACCGACCTCATCCGTCCTACCTCGGCCGTCCTCCTCATCGAGAACCTAATGCCCAGCCCATTAGACCGGCCCAACTTGGCCCATTAGCGGGGTCTTACAAGTACTAGCTAGTAGCGTAGCGTACATGACAAGTAAATACAGAGGCTCCAAAATGTGACCTAATTTTTCTCCAAAAGAGACTATATTTATTATACAAAGATTAAAGAGACCAGCATGCATCAACGCATGTGCCTGCTGGTTCATGTTGATCCATATAAAATAAAATGGAGCACTGAGATGTGGCCGTACCACTTTTTTTTAAAAAAATGGAAAGGAAAGGTGACTGGATGGTACATAAACACATGGTCCTCGTCTGGAGTTCCCTTTTCCATTTAGGCCGTGTTTAGTTCGGCAGAGTTGGCGCCGTCGGATTACTGTAGCTACACTGTAGCTACAGTAGCGTTTTGTTTTTATTTGATAATAATTGTTCCATCATTGATTAATTAGGTTCAAAACGTTCGTATCGTAAAGTACAACCAAACTGTGTAATTAGTTTTTGATTTCATCAACATTTAGTACTCCATACATGTACTGCAAGTTTGATGTGACGGAGAATCTTCTTTTTGTATAGTGTCAAAGTTTGGATTTTGGATGAAACTAAACATGGCCTTAATTTGTGCAGCCCTTTTTTTCTTCCCCTTCGCTTTTCTTTCTTCGTCGTCACCAACCGTGAGCGCAACCTATCCTGATAAACGTGTCTGAACTACCCCATGCAGTCCGATCCCCAGGCCATGCTAGCAGCAGCATAGTAGCTGCCCTGTACGTTTCAGAGGTGTATTGCAGGTCTCACTCTCACGGCACGAAAATGTGTTACAACAATTGTCCTGCCATTCACCCACCTGGTTTCGTTTCATCTTGAGAAATAGATCGATGCTGCCATGTAATTTTGATCAGCCGACGACGGTGCCATATTAGTAAAAGGATTAAGTCTACTTTTAGTCCCTAAACTATTGGGTTCGTCTAATTTTGATCATCAACTATAAAACCTATGTTATTGAGATCCAAATCTGTCACAACTGCGATTATTTAGCTTTGGCGTGGACGGAACTATTTTAAGAGAAAAAAGCGGGTTTAACCACACACCGCTGAAATTTACGATCGCGTGAGGACATCGGCCTTCATTGCTGGTATAAGCCCTTGTTTAGTTATGAATTTTGGTATCCAAAATCTGTCACAATTCGCTTTCATTTTAGCACTGGCGTGGATTGAACTAATTTTAACCGTTCGATCTGCCCGCAATTTTCCAGCAAACTGTGGTTTTTTCCACACATTTAATACTTGGCATTGACCACGCAAAACATTTATGGACATCAGCCTTCATCTTGGTGACCCTAAGGCGCCAACGTCGTCCCCCTAGTAAAACCAAGCGTAGCAACCTGAATACATACATTCCACAGGGAAGGAACCCCTGGCGGCTGGCAGGCACCTCAGTTTCCTGTCAGCGGCAGTATGAACTCTCTGACCCTCCATTTGTTTATGAACGATGCTCTCCCAGTCATCATCAATCAAAAATTAAAAAAAAAGTAAAAGTATATATGCTGCTGCGCTCCATCATTTTCCAGCCAGCTTGTCTTTCGGTCTGTTTGGCAGGGCTCTGGCTCCTTTGAAAATGGCTCCGATTCTGGCTCCTCTGAAGGAGCAGCTTTTCTGGAGGAGCTGAAGCCGTTCTGGAAAACGTTTGGCAAAACGGCTCATTCGCACTAGATGACGTGAATCCACAGCAAAGAGCCGCGCGAATCTTGTTTTTGAGGCTTCTCCTGCGCAGGCAAAACATAGCTCCGGCTCTTGACCGGCTCTTCATGCGGAGCCCTTTCCAAAACAGACGTTTAACACAACTTCTGCAGGAGCTGGAGCTGAAGCCCCTACACAAGCCCTGTCAAAGAGGTTCTTAGTCCTAGCAAAATTGAGTGGATTGTCTCTCTTCTGCTTTTTTTTTGGGTTGTTCCCGGCTTTTCATTTCATTGATTTGATTCATTAATTCTTTAATCTTATACTATATTTTTTTTGAAAAAAAAAATACGCGTACAGTCTGCTGATGAACTCTGGCCTGGCCCATCCCGACCGTGTCCCTCCTCCCTTTATATACACCGACGGCACAGGATCGGTCGGAGCACGAGAGCGCAGCGCAACAGAGGAGAGGGAAGGAAACAGCAGAGGCCACGAGGCCACCAGCGAGCGAGCAGCGAGAAGGAGCAAGCCGGCGAAAGGTGCCGAGAAAGAAGGCGAGGACAATGGGGGAAGCTCCACCTCCATGCGTCATCGTCGTGCCGCGCCGCGCCGTCCGCCTGCCCCGCCACGGCCGCCGGAAGGTGCACGTCGTCCGGCTCGGCGGGGCCGGCCCTGGCGCGCGCGTGCGCCGCCACGGCCGCGGGCTCCGGCTCCGCCGGTGGCTGCGGCGCGCGGCGTGGCGCCTCGCTGAGCTCTGCGTGGCGGCGCTGTCGGGCCAGGGCCACCCGGGGGCGGCGCCCAGCGCGGCGCACCACCCGCCGTGGACCGGCGTGGAGCCCTACTTCGCCGCGCCCTTCGTCCCCGTCGCGCGGATGAAGCGCGCCGGAGCGCAGGCCTAGCTTGCCCGGCCGGCTTGCTGCCGCTTGCGCCACGGGCCGGCGGCTTGATTTCGATCGCACGATCCACCCAATGCCGAACACGGTGGTAGCCAATCATGTAGGACAGGCAGGGGCTGTCGCTGTGGTGTCCGTTCCATGATCGTCCCTCCTTTCTGCGTCTGCTTATCGCAGCAAAGAAGCATCATGCAGGTAGTTGTGCTGGGAAACAGTGTAGTACTGCTGCAGCTCCAATCATGAGCGCCATAGATTGTTTTGGAGGACTCACTCCATACATATGTAGCTTAATAACTAGGGCCTTGTATAGATTCCAAGTTTTTTCACTCTCTTTCCATCACATCAAATCTTTAGACACATGCATGGAGTATTAAATATAGATAAAAAAATAACTAATTACACAGTTTAATTGTAAATTACGAGACGAATCTTTTGAGCCTAGTTAGGCCATGATTGGACAATAATTGTCAAATACAAACGAAAGTGCTACAGTGTTAAATATTGATTCCTAACCGTGAACTAAACCAGGCCTAGAGAAATGTTGCTCGCCGTGCTATGGCATATACTCGAGTGACTGTACTTAAACTTGTACTGCTGTCTGCTACTGATAACTAATGAATCTCTATTACTCCGTACTACTAATGCTCCTAACTGTCTACAACAAGCCGGTGTCGTCCCATGAGATCTCCAAATGATCACCGCGTACGTGAAGTTCATTCTTGTTCAGTTGTTCGTGCACTGTCACTGACGACGCGCGCTTTCACACCAGTCGTGATCTTCAGTTGAATGGTGGAAGCATGAACGAGGTACAGGCCACAGGCCAGGCGTACAGCACGACCTGCCGATTGCGGGCAGTAGCTAGGCCCGAGCTTTCCCACCAGTTTGGTTGCTCACGTGAACCCCGCCAAAGCCGCCATTTAACGCCTGATTTCTGCGGATCCCGTCCGTGACCATGGTGTCCGCACCGCACGGTAGACGAGTTCGGCCGCCGAGGACGGTGACCCGACGGTTGGGAGCCGATGGATCGATCGATCGATGGAGACCACCCACAATCCCACATGCACGCTGCCGTGTTCAATGGCCGGGCCGGCCGGCGGATAAGGATCTAAGCACCATGTGCGCTGCCACGCCCGGCAGTACCAGGCGCAGGCGTCCGTGCGCAAGTGTGCAACAAACATGGCTTGGCTGGCCTATCCTGAAACCTCAGCTCATGAAACAATGTTTTTCTATTCACAGCACCATGTGCGCTGCCACGCCCGGCAGTACCAGGCATGCATTAATCAACGGAGGCGCCCAACCTACCGTGCGTGCGCAAGTGTGCAACATGGGTTAAACAGTTGGCTTTTGTTTAGTTTGGTGGTTTAGCTGGCCTAAAATCTTCTGAAACCGGTGAGGCCCATGTTCAATCTAAACACCCCTTATTGTCTGATGGGTGTTGGCATGAACGGGGCCATTAGGTACCAGCAGCCATTATCAGCTCATTAACGTTCGGTAACACTGGCGCCACGTTGAACCAACCCTTTTATCAGTGCTAAAATTAGCCCTACTATTTCAGGGATGGATAGGGGCAGCCGGGGCTGGGAAAGAGACGCTCGGACAGCAGCCCGCACCACAGGCTAAGCTGGGCTCGCTTTGCTTCACGTGCCTGTCACTGGGGGTACAGTGTTATTGTTGTAAGGCTAGACCAGGTCAGCACAGCACGCATGTTGCGCCGCTGTGCTGATTGGCAGCTTGATTGATTAGCTAGCTGCCTCCAGGATCCTGCAAAGCCATGGCATTGGCCCCCCAGATCCAACCCAATCAGGTGTACAGTAATGGCAAAGGTACTGTTGAAAACGACAAGGAGGAGAGCACAGGGCATCTCCCCAGGCAATAATCAGAGAGGTGACAAAGTGTATCAGGAGGCTCTCAAACAAGGATCTGTTGTGGCCACAAAAGTAGAAAACACCACTGCTAGTTAAAAGGAATCTGTTCGCTGAACCCTCCATCAATCCAAAGCGTTTCTGGACAAACGAGAAGCATGCGACTGGGACGTAGCGCAGTCATCAGGTATGGCACAGGCCGCCACTAAAAACTCTGCGGCCACAAATGGGAGCAGCAACTACCATGGAAACGATTTTAATCGAAGTCTAGGAACTCCATCCTTTTCCTCATCGTGCCTTTCAGATCTCTTGCTTCCCGTTCTGCCTTTTCAGCCTGGATGTGGCAAAAAAAAAAGTTAGTTACTAAGTCACAATGACATCGTGAAGGAGTCAGGTTCCTTTGTCTAAGCATAGAGGTACACCATACAAACATATTTCAATGGCAGATTGCATATTTGTCTAGTGTATGTAAGTCCTTTTGAAAGACAAACTGTTTCTCCTAGGAGCTGCGCTGGGTCCTGTTGCTAAACCGCAATAACTGTGTTTGTACACATTAATATTTGTTCCTTCTCCGCAGTTTATTGTTAAGCATTACAAGATTCAGAAAGACCAGATGAAAGGAACAGGTTTGAGCATGCTATGGCAGGCTGAAGGTGGGACTGCAACAAATGCAATAGGTTGAAGATTGATGACTGTCGAGAAAAGGGTAAAACCCTTAGTTCGCTCCCATGTTGTTCCCGGGTTTGTATGAACCATTCCTTTCTTTTTGTCAGGTTAAGTAATTAGTTTCATCCAATTTGCACTAATGGAATTGCTGCCTCCCTATGAAAAGGAGCCCTTCCTCTTGTCATCTGTTCTCAGTTCATCGCAACTGGAATCCCTAGTCTTCTAAATCATTTTTAAAATAAAGTATGGGCCAATCCCAGAGTGGCCACAATCTAATACAGGCAAACCTGTTCCAAGATATATCCACAAAATGCAATAAGCAGACCAAACATTAACAATCCATATTTTACTTCCACAAAATGAGTCTTTTTTTTATTAATGCTTAGATCTTGGGAAAAAACATGGTAGTCCCTCCGTTTCAAATTATAAGACGTTTTTTGCTTTTCTAGATTCATAACTTTTACTACACACCTAGATACATATTATGTCTAGATACATGATAAAAGTTACGAATCTAGAAATGACAAAATGTCTTATAATTTGAAACGAAGTACAACATTACATACAAATTTCATTTTTGCTTGAATGTAAAAGTAAATCAAAAGATGCAATAGTTTCAACAATAAAGTCACAACAAAGAGTTTAGAGAAATAAATCTTCTCGCACATATGTAGCAGACCGCAAAGAGGTTAGGACAGAAAAATGCAATAGTTGCATCCACAGTTTCCATGTTATATGACAGGATGGGTTGCAAAAGTTAAAACAATCTACAAATTATCTGTATTGTCATCTAATAAAATGTTTCTGTATTTCTTTAAGGCTGCAACTGTGGCCATAACTTATCATTGAAACACCCAGTAAAAGAGCAAGACAACAAACTTTTAGCGCCACAGTTTAAATTGTCTTTGGGAAAAACACAGAACCGTTCATGAACAATCTGTATGACTAGGAAATCAACATGCATGTATCAAAATGCAGAAAAGAATTAGCTAAACACCAGAAAACGCTTCAAAACAAGAATAGATTGAAGATAAGTGCACACCTTTCTTATTTCTGCTTCTGAAACACAGGTCATGTGAGCAGGGAGTTCATCCTTTTCGCGATCCTGCTCAATGCAATATATACAAGATATATAACATCAACGCGGAGATATGAGTTTGGCCATGCTCACTTTTAATGCAACAGAGGTTATTACCAATTCTCCGATTAAAACAACATTCTCTCCCCGGATTACGTACAGACCAAGAGGAACATCACAATATTGTTCCCCCACAATCACTCGTTCACAAGCACCCTGAAGAACAACATTTGCTGCAAAGTATAATAGTAAATGAGAAGATTAGTAGCAGAAAATATAATTGGAAACAACACTAAGGAAAGTGAGAGTAAAGCAGCCCACCAAACTGATCAAATGAGCAGAGGGTGCCAAGCAGTTTCCGTCCATCTCTTAGCAGGACAATAAGTTTCTCTGAGATCGGATGCGAAAGAAATTATTAGTACCATAGATCAGAAATCACGAGCAACAACAAGTTGTGGGGGATATGACCCCCGGTACCCACAAGACAAAACATGGGCCGCACCATCAGAGGTGGCCCGGCCCACACGATCAAGGCGTGCAACGCAAGGCTACAAGAAGATGTGATTTATTAGATATTGTAATACCAAATAGGATATTTTCTTTATAACCCTACCCCTCTCGAGTATATAAGGAGGGGCAGGGGTCCCCTAGTCGACAACTACATGGTCATCCAGATCAATACAAATCAACAGAGCACATGACGTAGGGTTTTACGTCACATTGACGGCCTGAACCTGTATAAATCTTGTGTCTTGTGTCTCTGTTATCATCCGGTTCCTGATCACGCGCACCTCCACCAATCATCTACTATCGTGGGTATTCCCCTCGGTAGAATGCCGACTAGATTTCGTCGACAGTTACCAATATTTTTTTTAAGATTAAGCAAACCATAGAAAGCGGCCAGCGCACATGGAATATTTAAGTACTATTGTTCTCGTTTTTATTAAATATAAAAATAAATGTTTACTAACATGACTTATGCTTATGTTAGTACAATATTTTGGTTTAAAATATTTTATCAATAACAATAGTTTTAGCTAAAACCTCAAAAGAGCATAATCCATGCAATCACTAATTATACTTCCAAGGTAATGAAAGTAGACAGAAAAGAACTTAACATATTCTTCTGAGTAATCTACCTATTTACACCAATTAAGAACAAAATATTAAATGAACTAAGGATATGCCAAGCCAATCTTACACTTGGCATGCCCTAGGAACAAAATTCATTGAAGACCCAGCATCCTTTGCAAACAATATTTAGTACCCACTCGAGATTTACAAAGACTAGATTAAAAGATTGATTTACAAATATGCAAATAAACCAATAGATAAGTAGACAACTAACAATATATTTAGTTGATTGTTTAGGAAGCTAGAAACTTTGCTGGCCTTTAGCTCCAGTAGCGAGTTATACTATCATGTCACTAACACCTTGCACTGCAGCTACCCAATGCTTGCATAAGTTATCCTCTCTTCTCATTATTTCATATGCACTTGCAAAAGTGCCAAACAATCATAATGCCATCGCTCATTAAAAAAAGTAGAAAAACTCTTGCTTCTACCATCACATGGAAACAATTTCAACTGAACATCTATCAAGGCGTTAACAGATCAACTGATTCAAAGGAACTCAGGTGGGACAATCTTCTCATTGTCTCATATACACTACAAAATTAATAGAAATATCAATCAATCGTAGTGCCATTAGCTTGCCCAATCGCTGCGAGGTTCTACTGTCATAGGGCAGACAATTTAAATTAGGTTTCTATTGAGGTATAAAATTCATCAACTAATTCAGAGGGAGCTCACATGGACAAAAGGTAATGTCTTTTTTAATGACAGATGATAGATGTACCAAATAACAGCTTCAAACAACTAACAGCTACCACAATTAAGTTTAAATTCTACTCAAAGGCGCACATAATCCCTGAAGGGAAAATGGAAAGAGAAACAGAAATTTACTATCAATGAACCAAAGAAAGTGGCACTTGGAGATTGAAGCACACACACCAAAGTTGTCTTACAATTAGGCTCGTCCAACACAGGCTTACTATACAGAATTTAAACATTTCATAATCAAGTCTATCCAACCAACCAAATGCCCCAAATGCAATACAATTGTTCGCAATGAAGAGCTTCAGGTACAAATGTAACACACATGAGAAGGTCCGATAAGCCATAATTTTGTACAATTACATAGCATTAACTTTGCACAAATAATTGCCAAAAATATTGTGGAACCAAACAGATCATGGGAACTAACAACCTTTTACAACGCTTAGTGTGAATGCACCAGAATTCTGCCTTCATATGTCATGAGGCACAACCAACTCCAGGTAAGATTTCCATCAACAACATAAGGCATTGGCACAAACAGTACACACAAAAATCTGTAGTCTATCTGCATAAACAGATAAACCTACCAAAGCTTTGACAAAGTTCAAGACAAAATTTGAACGAGTTACAGGAAAAAATACTCTCTTTCGCCAAAACTAAATGAGTCGTATTGAGTATGGATGACTGCATAACCCATAAGAGCCTTCCCTCTTCTCCTACTAACAACGGCTACAGGGATTTGCGGAGAGTCACTGTGCCTGATATGAACCACTCACAGAAGGCAATCGTCGGTACGAAATTACCACAATGACTTAGAATCACGGCCTCCACAAACAGGAAACTAGGCCAATCGGATCTACGACCCCCTAAAAATCTAATCTAGGCGCATCGGCTCAGTCCTACAGACCAATATCAACATCTAGGCGACTAGACAAGCTCAGAAACATCGCAGATAGGGGATCTCAAAACTCACTGTCCAAGAAGCCGGCGAGGGAGGTGGAGAGGAGGATGTCGTCGGGCGCGGACCAAGACATCGCGCGGATCCCAAATCCGGCTCCAGAAACCGGAACTGATGGACTCAACCAACCGCGGCTGGGATGGGAGTTGCTTCTACAGCTTGGGACCAAGCTGCTTAGGGGCCCCCGGGAGAACCACTGCTAGGGTTCGCGTGGGAGTGGAGTGCTCTCGCGTGACGGAAGCAGGGAGGAGCAGAGTTCGGTGCTTGATACACGGACAGGGAACGAAGCAGATGGAAAGGGTTTGGTACTTGATAAGAGACGAGCCGCTGGCCGGTGGGCCCAAGAGGTCTATTCGTTTTGACTTGCGTGCATCTTGCATTTCGAGCAAGGTAAAGCTCATTTTCAAACTTTTTTTTTTCTCCAAAACGCGAGAGAATTGCGTTTCATTTTCTTTAAGAGAACATATCATTATGAAATATTAGTTTCAACCTTTAATTATGAAATTGGGTACTGAACAATTATCGAAATCGGATAAATTTAGTCCTCTAGCTAGTTTTAAAAGTGATTTTCTATTTTCATAAATAGTAAAAATGTTTTAATCTATAAAATTTTATAAATTATTTATTTTAAATCAAAAAATGTGAAACCAATACCATCTTTTCCTAAAAAAATATTTTAATCATTGGTTCTAAATAAGTTCTAAATAGGAACATAAATAAATAAGTTCTAAACCAGACCACAAGCAATAAAATAGGAACATAAATAGATAAGTTCTAAATAATTATAAATAGATTACCAACAATTAGATAGCATTTTAGGAAAAAAATGTATTAGTTTCATATTTTTAATTTCAAGTACATAAGTTATGAATTTTTAGAGGTTAAAATAGGTTTTTATATTATTCTAAAAAATAGAAAATCACCTTTGAAACTAGCTAAAGGACCAAATTTATTTGGTTTCGATGGTTAGAGGTTGTTCAGTACCCGGTATCATAATTTTGGAGTTGAAAATCAAACTATCGTGTAGTTGAAGGTTGAAAATGCACTTTACCCTCCGTGCAAGTGGAATCCGGCGTGCCGGCACCCTTAATTTTTTCATATAATGTGTATAATTTTTGAATAGCTAATTCAAAAATAAACTAATTGGGTTTCTTAAAGTCTATTTTAGAAAATATGATGATGAAGTGCATGGTAACGAGAAAGAGTAAATATGAAGTACGAAGTACATAGTAAATGAGAAGTATGATTTTTAGGCCCTCTTTAGCAAAGCTCCTATAGTTGATTCTCTACTCAATCCAGTAGAAGATCTGCCAAACAGTTTTTCAGAGAGAAGTGATTCTTCACTAATTTTGTGAAGTGATTTCTAAAATGAACTAAGATGTTAGGAGCTGAAAAAGTAACTTCTTCTGATTCTGTGAAATGATTTTCCATTGTGATTTTGAGAGCAGATGAAGCTCTGGCAAAGTGGCCCTTATGTGTTTCATCGTACGCATAAGAATTATGTGATAACTCGTTAGCCGGTAGATTCAAACACGATTGGGTGTGACAGGGCTCACACTAGGTTGAGGGTGCCTGAGGGAGACGTGCTCGACCAGCGGGCGCCCGCGCCGTTGGCGGCCACGACCGCAGACCGGAGGAGGAAGGTCCCATCCCGCTAGCTCCCAAGACGCTGCCAACAGGGGTAGGTATGGGAGAAGATGCAGGTCCGGAGCTCCTCGACTGGGGATCCATTGAAGACGAGGATGGCGCCTTTGGCCAGCTGTCAACGGGCAAGGTCCAAGATCCAAATCCGGTGGGCTCAGAAGCTATACAGACGGGCGCGTGGCAAATCTCGGTTCTTTGGGAGTCGCTGGGACATGTGAAGGGTGAGAGGAGATGCACGGGGTGTAAGCGTAGCGATTACTCGCCGTCGCCCGCCTCGACTTGGCCGACACCGATGGCACTGCTGCGGCTGACCACCTAGTCCTAATGGACACTCTTCAAGCAGCCCATCCGGCCTCCCTGGAGGCGCCGGAATCATCCATGCGGCAAGGCTACCTCACTAGCCAGCAGGCTATGGCTACCGGTGGATCGGGAGGGGGTGGAGAGAGCGCTGAATCTAGCAATCTTCATGGCCCTGCCCCGAACTCTGCTGGGGCGGGGTGCGACACTGAGGACCACATCATCAATGGCCCTCAGTCGGCTAGCACCTCAACATCAATGCGTGCCTCGGACCAGGGGGCATAGCTGGCGCACGTGGGGGGAGCCTGGTTGGACACCATAGGCGACGCGACGCGACACGCTTGTGGCGGTGCCAGACACATTAACCCCTCTGTTGCTGCGCCGGCGACGGAGGCGGGCATGGATGGCCACGGCAAGTGTGAGGTAATCAAGAAACTTTCACAAACTTGTGTTGTTGCGTCTGAGCTTCACCGTCCCGAGGCGCCGAACGATCCAATTCGGGGTGCCGAGGGGGAAACGTAGTTACTACGACGCTGTGCGCTCGTGCCCACCACCTGCCGTGTTAATGCCCAATAGAGCCGATTGCATAGCAGAGTGAAGCCCCAATGGAGGCCGCTGCTCGTGATGGGGAAGTCCGGCCCGCCGACGGGCCATAAAACCTCCTTCGCCGGTAGATGCTTCCGATGCCTTGGCCAAGACCATAAACTTGCAGATTGTCGAGACCCTCTCCGCTGTCTGGCTTGTCGCCGCAGCGGCCGCCTTGCCCGTCACTGCCCTGAAAAGCGGGCGAGTTTCCATCGCCCCCTGATCCGATCCAGACTAAAGCCCCCTAGATCCTCCATCCATTCATGCCTTTTCTTCCCTAAGCAAGTAGCGCCTAGCATCTAGAGCCGTCTGGTCTTCCCTCCGCTGACGCAGGGGAAAAGCGAGTGGGAGGCAGTGAAGGGGAGCGAACAGAAGTGCAAGGAGGAGCCGTGACCCAATGAAGGAGGAGTGATGGCCTAGTACCTGTGGATCTTGGGAGAACCTGCGCTTAGGCAAAGGCTGGCAAATGATTACTTCACTGGACATGACGGCGGAGGCCACCAAGCTCCACACCAAGGTTGTGATCCTGGTGGTGTGGACCAGGCCGCCACATGTCAACATCACCATTGGTGATGTGAGCAGAGTCATGGCCGGCTACGTTCGCATGACGCCGAACGAGATGCGCACGACGCGCCACCACCCGGAGGACTTCATGATCGTTTTCGAGGAGCCCCACCAGAGGACCCTAGCACTCCGGGTTGGTGCCTTGCGAGTGAAGGGCGTTCTCTTTAGTGTCATTCCATGGCGTGAGCATGCTCATGGCGGGGAGGTCACCTGGTGGTACCACGTCAGGATGGCCATCGAGAGCCTACCTAGGCACGTCTGGAACCTCGCAGCACTCGGGGAGATGCTGGGCGAGGTCTGCCTCTTCGACAAGATTGATCGCGCCATGTTCGCCAGCAAGATTCGGACATGCTCTACTGTTGGTCTGAGATGTGGTTCCTAGACCTGCTGTCGTGCACCAAGACGGTGACTTTCTTCGAGCACGGTGCGGGCCAGGCGCCATCGGTGGCTGAGAGAGGGGCGCTGCCCAAGGAGGTGGCTCCACCTCCGCGTGGCATGAGCCACAACTTGCTCATCCACCTCCTAGGACCCGCACCCCTAAATCGGGGCAGAGTGGGGCTCCCTCCTCTTCTGAGTCGGATGAGTACCCCACGATCTACAACTTTGATGACTGGACTCCTAGCGTGCTGGACGGCCTCCGCGCAAAGCAAAGGGCTGATGCTTGTCGCCCCCTCCTAGGGGCGCACCTGCCAGAGGACATGACGATGACAACAAAGATGGTGATGGCCAGCGGCGTCACTCTCGGGGCTTCCTTGATCGGGGCAAGCAGGCACTCAACCTGCTGCGCCGCACTGGACACTCCACCAGCAACGGGGGTGGGAGCAGACAATGCACCCGCTCCCCACCACCAGCCAGGCAATGGAATGCTGATGTGGGCGACGAGGCATTGGAAGGAGGTGATCGTGGCAGGTAGCTGGTGCGTGACAGCCACAACTCCCCGCGCATGCGTGATCCACTACGGCGTGAGGATGCCGACTAGGAGCGCCTCCCCTGGCCAAGGCACAGTCGGGGAGGTGGCCATGGTGGCTGATACGGAGATGGACTTCGGCAAGGGGGACCTCGGCTCTACCCTGCTCTCGGGGACACTTCCCAGGGCGGTAGGAGAGCCCCCACCACCACCAAGGCACTTGGACCCAATGCTAGACTTCTACAAGGAGACATGCACTGGTGACATCTGGTCTGCCCTCACCCGCCCCCTTGGTGACTACGACCCGATGATCGAGGAGGCACTGGCGGCGTGTGAGGCTGTGATGACCAGGCCACTGTCTTTCTCCCCACCTAGAAGCCCATCGATGGAGGAGCAGCGATCTCCGGTGTATGTGGCTAACTACGGAGCCAACTAGGACAAGCTTGCGGAGCTAAACGAGGAGGTGGCTGCCCTAAAATATGGTAATGTGATCCACTTCGGACCTAGGGTGTAGCAAGAGATTGAGGGACAGGTGATCACCATTGGCATCACCGAGCAAGTTGCGGAGCTCATACTGGAGGAGCGCAGGAATGCCATTGTCAAGAGCATATTTGTCCCCTACGAGCAGCCTATCCTAGAGATGCCGGCTACACCAAAGCAGAAGAGCAAGGTTGCTGATCGACGAAGATGCTGAAGACTACAATGGGGGGCCTAAGGAGGAGCACTAGGCAGCTGGCAAAAAGCTGCTCTATGCCGGTACATAAGCGTGCAACTCACAGACTGATCAAGGCATTTGAGACAGTGGGCCGAATGAGCCGATTGGGGATGAGGTGTTGGCGGCCTTTGCCAAGCGCTTTGCCGTACCGCTATCCCTGAATCAGATTGCGGTGAGTGCGGAAGCTTACTTCTTTGGACGGATGGGCGGTGATTACAGCAGAAGAAAGACGGTTGGTGGCGATTGAGGGAGCCGAGGCCATGGAGGATGGTGGAGCACGAATGGGTATGCACTGGAGCCTATGCAAGGCAAGACTATGTTATGTTAATCAAGTAGAGTGTTATGTGTAAGGGGCACTTTGAGAGTGTGTCGTCAGGGATGATGTCCCGCTTTTTATCGGGTCGATCTGTCGAGGGAGTAGCCCTGTGTTGGTGTCCTGATTGGGAGAGAGCTATGGTCTATTCGCAGTGTCTTGAGGTTGGGTCGTGGTCAGAACTTGAGGTTGGGTCATGGTCAGAACTGGAATGTGGCTGGTGCCCTTGAAATGTTAGAGGAATGGGGCCAGGGGAGTATGTGTGTGTTGTTGTCTGTCACTTGTGTTTGCCTTCAAGAATTAATCCCAGTAGCCTCCTTGTTTGTTTATGGATAACTTGATGACCTTACTATATTGACATGGAATGTAAGAGGCCTAAATGATCTTTGCTCACCGAGAGCTTGTCGAGAGAGGCTAATAACTGCTCGCGGCGATGATAGTGTGTTTGCAAGAAACCAAACTTAGCAGATTTCAACAATACCCTTGCCATGGAGACCTTGAGGAAAGATTCAGACTCCTACGTTGAAGTTTGGGGGCCTAGGGGACTAGAGGTGGCATACTCTTGGCATGGAACAAGGATATGATCTCAATGACAAATGCGGTGAATGAGTTTTCACCATCTCGGCTATGATCAAAGTTGCCTCCTCTCGATACCCAATTTCTAATGACTACATGTTATGGCTCAATTGATGATGGCGGGAAAGAGGATTTCCTTCTTCGAATCGAATGCTATCAAGCCAGCTGCTGGGGTGCCATGGATCATCCTAGGAGATTTTAACCTCATCTATCAAGCCAGTGACAAAAACAATCTGAACCTCAATAGAAGACTGATGGGAAAGTTTCAAAGAACATTAGATGAATGCGAACTCATGGAGATTGCACTGCAGAATATGAAGTACACATGGTCAAATGAAAGGGAGAACCCTACCTTGGTGTGTTTAGATAGGGTGTTTTGCAACTCTGGGTGGGAGGCGGCCTTTCCAAATTTCACCTCAAATGCTCTGGCAACGGGAGCCTCAGACCACTGTCCATTATTTCTCACCTGTCAGGATCGAGTGGTTAGGAAAGCGGTGTTCAAATTTGAAAACCATTGGCTGAAGGTGGATGGGTTCCGAGATGTGGTCATGAATGCCTGGAGCAAACCGCAAGCGGGCTCAACGCAGACTGTACTGGGCAAGAAGCTAGCAGAGACTGCAAATGCTACAAAGCTGGAGCAAACTGCTTTTCAGTAATGCACACCTTCAGCTGTACATTGCAAATGAGGTCATCTTCAGGTTGGATGTTGCCCAAGAAAGGAGATGGCTATCAGAAGAAGAGGGTTCTCTACGACAGGACCTCAAAATCAGGATTTTGGGCCTAGCGGCGATTGAGAGGAGTAGGAGAAGACAGACTTCTAGAATAAACTTTATCAAGGCAGGAGACGCATGCACAAGATTTTTTCCACCTGAAGATGGCAGCCAGGAAGAGAAGACAGTACATATCATCACTCAAAAAACAGGACGGCTCCTTGGTGTGGGCTCACGATGACAAACAACGAGTCCCGCAGGACTATTTCCAAGATCTAATTGGAAAGAAGGTACGCAGGCTGCAGACCTTCCAATGGTCACAACTACAACTAAACGCCCTGGGTAGCTGCCTAGCCTTGAACTTGACAGGCCCTTCATAGAAAATGAGATTCAGCAAGCAATAAAAGATCTGCCCAGTGAGAAGGCGCCTGGACCGGACGGTTTTACCAGTGATTTTACAAGCACTGTTGAGAAATCATCAAGCCAGATGTTCTCAGCGCTTTCCACGCTTTCTACATACATCACAACGGGGCTCTGGAACATCTAAACCGAGCACAGGTGGTGCTGATTCTCAAGACGGAAATTGCAACGAAGCCAAAGGACTTCAGACCAATAAGTCTGATCCACTCCTTTGCAAAGTTACTGACAAAGGTGATGGCGAACATATTGGCGATATATATAGATAAGCTAATCTCCAACTCTCAGAGTGCATTCATTAAAAGGAGATGCATCCAGGAAAACTTCTTGTATGTCAGGAGGCTCGCGCGTCACTACCACCGCACAAAAACACCTGCCTGCCTCATCAAACTTGACATAACCAAAGCATTTGACTCGGTATCTTGGGAATACCTGATCGAGCTGCTTGCCAGAAGAGGATTTCCGACAAGATGGCTTGACTGGCTGGCAGCGATCCTCAGAACATCGTCCTCGGTAGTACTACTCAATGGTTGTCCAGGTGATAGCATCATGCACCGGAGAGGCCTCAGGCAGGGTGATCCATTGTCACCCTACCTGTTCATACTGGCAATCGATGTACTTAATAACATCTTCGACATCGCCACGCAGCAAGGCTTCCTATCAAAACTAAAAGGTAGACATGCAAGCCTCCGAATATCAATGTATGCTGATGACGCTGTAATCTTCAGCAACCCAAGACGACAAGACATTACCTGCATCATGGAGATTATGAATGCTTTTGGTGCAGCCACGGGATTACAATTAAATATGGAGAAGAGCATTGTGGCCCCGATCAGATGTGTGGGCCTAGATATGGAAGAGATACTGCAAGATTTCCTTGGGCCAAGAGTAAACTTTCCTATGCAATACTTAGGACTACCTCTCACACTTGGAAGGTTAAGAATGGTGCACCTGCAGTACATCCAAGATAGAGCTAAAGGGAGGGTGGCTGGATGGCAAGGGCGCCTGCTGAATGTTGCTGGCCGTAGGGAGTTGGTGTGCTCTGTGCTTAGCTCCCTCCCGATATACCTGCTGACGGTGGTGAAGGCACCCAAAAACTTCTTGAAAGAACTTGACAAACTGTGTAGAAGATTCTTGTGGGCTGGCGACAAGGAGCTTACTAGAGGGAAATGCAAGGTTGCATGGATGAAAGTATGCACGCCAACAGTCAACGGTGCCCTAGGCATCATTGAACTTGAAAAGTTCGATTCGTGCCTCACGGACCCGGTGGCTCTTGGTTTTCATGGGACGACAGATAAACCCGGAAAGGAATGGAGCTATCGATTGACAATAATGACATTGCACTCTTCAATCTTTGCTACAAGTGTGGTATTAGGAAATGGGAACAAGGCTAAGTTCGGTTCTCTCATTGGCTAGATGGTCAAGCACCGCAACCTTATACCTCGCCTTGTTCAAACATAGCAAGAGGAGAACAAAGCAGATTAGTGATGCCGGGTCGACGATAAGTGGATCGATGATGTCGATTATAGCATGACGGAGCGGGTGGTTGAGGAATTTATATCATTGTGGACTTGCTTATAGGGAATCACCGCATCAAACCGACACATGAGGATAAGATCACTGGCTCCACACAAAGTTAGATGGCCAATACATGGCAAGATCGGCATATAGAATACAATTCCTTGAATGGCCTCATCCATGACAAATTTGAAATCACATGGAAAACAAAAGTGCCGCCAAAATGCCGCTTCTTCACTTGGTTGATATCAGAACCGCATTTGGACAATTTTGCAAGGCTAATGCTTAGGCAATGGCCAAATGACTACTCATCAACTCGTGTAAGGAAACCCGAAACGGTCTCACATCTTTTTTCAGAATGCGACTACTCGAGGAATGTTTGGGATAAGGTGGGCTCTTGGATTTTTAGGCACGCTCTAAGGCCGACACATCGACGACGCCGATCAAGATCTAGGGCAATGATACGCTGACATGGGCAACAGTGGGACAAGAGATGCAAGAGACGAGGTACGCTCGATGATCATGCTAACAACCTGGGAAATATGGAGGGAGAGGAATAATCAGGGTTTTCATAGATCCTCGAGAACGCGGAGCACATCTTTAGAGCCACACAGGAGGAAGCAAGGACGTGGATATGGGCCGGAAATAGAGGGCTAGAAGGAGTGCTGCCTCCACTGGAGCAGCCTCTTGTAGATGCTGTAAATCCTATGTAAGATAGAATTCTAAAACGCAGGAGTGGCATGACACTCGCTAGGATGTGAAAGCCAAGCAAAATGGGCGATCCTTGTGCCAAACCTTGTAAATATTGTGCTCTTCCCTTATCAATGAAAGCCGGTAACGGATCTTTCGAAAAAAAAGAATTATGTGATAGACAAACCTAAACATAAATGACAAAGCAATTGATTCCAATTGATTCCAATGCAATGTGGCAAGGAAGAGCGCTGCACTTGCACAATGCAATGTGTCTTTCGTTAAACTAGGAAGTATGATGAAGAGGATCTGCACTGATGATGGTTTCTTTATGCTAAATGACTCAACAACAAAACCTGATATGACAATGTAATTAATAAACTCTTGGAAGATCCTATTAGTTGGGAGAGAGAAAGAGTTGTATTCATGTTATAAACAGTTTTTTCATTTTTAGAAACATTTTTGGGAATTATTTAATATATTAATGGCACTATGTGTACATAAGTTAATAGAGTCAAGTACACGTACAATACATAAGTCAATAGAGTTAAGTATACGTACATGTATAACAGCATATGTTCCTATACTGTGATTAAAAGACATTTCCAGATCTCATGAATACTGTAATTAAAAAAACATTTTCAGATCTCATGAATGTAGGTGCACATAATGCATCCCCAAACTTCAAACCAGTATAGCTTGTAGTGTGTGTTGGTAGCCTGCTGCTACCAAGCAAAGCAAGAAAGAGGCTAGTGGCGTGCCAACCTAGCGACCTAGTCCAATCCACATGTCTTCCTAAAAAAACACACATCCTCTGCCACCCTCATCGTAGTGTCCATTTAATCGCCATAACCACTGCACCCGCCTCCCCCGCTTCATTCCCCATTCATTGGTCGCACCTCCGTTTCCACCATGCAAGCGCCCACCCGCACCCTGAGGCTCTATCTATCCCCTGCTTTCTCCATCGTACACGCATCAGTGACCACTTTGGTGGCACCGCGGTAGGAGATGGAGCCCTAGGAAGAGCGGGGGCTAGTGTCCAAGTTCGGGAGCGACGTGAGTGCTTTCTACGACCAGCTCCTGCAAGGCGAAAGCGGGTTCGGCCCCATCGACCACTTTGACGCTGGCAATTTCCCCACCCGGTTCGTCGCCCATATTAGGGGGTTCTCGTTGGAGGGGCAATACATCGATGGGAAGAATGGCCGTAGGCTTGACGACTACCTGCGCTACTGCATGGTCAGTGGCAAGAAGGCGCTTGAGAACACCGGACTCGCCAAGGGCTCGATGTGCATGTCATGGTGAGTTTGTGTGGGTTAGCGAATGTGACCTTTTTTATTTCATCACAAATTTAATGTGCAGGCCAAACTCGTGCTCCAGAACACAACTCTACATACAGTTCGCTTTAGGAAACGATTGGATTTTGCACCGTGTCTATTGAATTTAGCTCATGCTAACGAACACTTATTTTGATGGAGGGAGTAGGTTTATTATCATGAAAAATATTGTTGCTATTTAATTAAAGATTATAAAGCGTCAATCTTCTTTCAATTGGCCTCTCTCTCTCTCTCTCTCTGGTTGATGCGATATATACATGCGGTGCTACTAGAATTTTTCGCGGGCAAGTAAGCCACGCGGTCTCCTATCCCATCCCAATTTCGTCGAGGAGGTACCGGTACCGTACCATGGACGGAACGTGGTGGACAAGCGGTCTTCCTGCCGGCCGACGCGTCGGGGTCGGGTTCCAACCAGCCCAAACCACCCCCGCCGCCGGCCGTTTCCCCCCCGCACTCCACCACCTGACCTGCGCCGGCCCATCCTCCCGGCCTGGCCCAAGCCAACGCGCCCCGCGCTGCCCTTGCCGTGCCGAGTCCCAGCCGGATCCCCCTCAAAGCACGACAACCCCACGCCGCCGGCACCGCCGCACCACCGAAACCAACCCTACCCAAACCAAATCGGATCCGATCCCCTTCCCCTCTCCTCGCCCAATTCGTTCCGATCCGCCGCCACCGCGATGGACGACGACGACGACGTGTCGCACTCCCTCTCCCCGTCGCCGCCCTCCTCCTCCGCGCTCCCCGTGGACGGCCCCGTCACCGTCGCCGCTGCGCCGCCGGGCTCCGCCATGGCGGTCGCGCTCCCGATCCATAGGACCGCGGCGTCCCTGTACGCCAGCGCCGGCGGCGGCGGCGGGAGCGGGGGTGGGGGCGGGGGCGGTGGCGGCGGGAGGGAGGACGCCTGGAGCGACGGCGCCACATCCGCGCTCATCGACGCCTGGGGCGAGCGCTTCGTCGCGCTCGGCCGCGGCAGCCTCCGCCACCCGCAGTGGCAGGAGGTCGCAGATGCCGTCTCCTCCCGTGACGGCTACTCCAAGGCGCCCAAGTCCGATGTCCAGTGCAAGAACCGCATCGACACGCTCAAGAAGAAATACAAGGTCGAGAGGGCCAAGCCGGTCTCCGCCTGGCAGTTCTTCGACCGCCTCGATTTCCTCCTCGCGCCCACCTACGGCAGCAAGCCCGGCTCCGGCGGCGGCGGAGGGCACAACTCCAACAGCCGCACCCAGATGCCTGCGGCGCTGCGTGTGGGCTTCCCTCAGCGCAGCCGCACGCCGCTGATGCCCGCGGCAGGCTCCGCGGCCAAGCGGAGGGCGCCTTCGCCGGAGCCGTCGGTGTCCTCCGAGTCCTCCGACGGCTTCCCGCCGGTGTCGGCCCTTCCGGCAGTGAACGGGAAGAGGAAGAGGACGGACGAAGGGCGCGCCGACTACGACGGTGGCAGCAGCGGCGACGACCGCGCGCAGGGGCTTCGGGAGCTGGCGCAGGCGATACGGCGCTTCGGCGAGGCGTACGAGCGCGTGGAGGCCGCGAAGCTGGAGCAGGCCGCCGAGATGGAGCGTCGGCGCATGGACTTCACGCAGGAGCTGGAGTCGCAGCGCGTGCAGTTCTTCCTCAACACGCAGATGGAGCTCACGCAGGCCAAGAACCACGCGTCTCCTGCCACGGCCGCCGTCCCTGCTGGTGGCTCATCTAGGAGGATTTCAGTGGTTACCGACGTCGGTGGCAGCAGTAATCACCATAGCCGTTACCGGATCAGCCATGGTGACAGGCACCGTCATGCTCCACGCCCACATTACCAGCAGTACCATGACAACAACAATCACGCGGTGGCAGGGGCTGCAAGTGAAGGTGAGCAGTCTGATGACGAGGAGGATGATTATGAAGAAGAGAGCCAGTAACTGTATCGGCGATTCGCCATAATTTATATAGGTATTCCCATAGAATTATTGCATTGCTCCGATTTAACTTTTATATGTGATCCCAAGAAGAAGAGACAATGGCTTGGGACTAGTGGAAATTGGTCATCTTAGTAAAAGTACTAGCATTAGCATTAGCATTAGATAGCCCCTTGCTGTACCATGATGTTAGTTAATTCGTTGCTTGCTTCTCAACATTGCGTTAATAACATCTGATGTGATCTCATTCGTGTCAAGAATTGGCAAAGTTTATAATGCAATATGGCATGCTGGGTTGTATCAATGCTTGCTTGCTCTTTTTGGAATAGCAATCATCCATGAGAGTTGATGGAATCATGGAACTGATCTAAGTTAATGGGCCTGTACGCTTGGAGGAATTCTCGAGGAATTTGGATGGTTTGGAGAAATGCTGAAAGAATAATGCTATAAAGATTGTGTGGAGCAATGCTTTGCCTATATCTTGCTAATAGAATAGGAATGAGTTGAAGGTGTTTGGAAACTAGGGGACTAAACTTTAGTCCCGTTACATAAGATGTTTAGATGCTAATTAGAAGTATTAAATATAGACTAATTAAAAAGCAAATTACACAAATGGAGGCTAATTTGCAAAACACTAATTTTTTAAACCTAATTAGTTCATAATTTGACAATGTGATGCTACAGTAAACATGTGACAATCATGGATTAATTAGTCTTAATAGATTCATCTCGTCAATTAGTCTACTCCTGTGCAATTAGTTTTATATTTACCTCATCCTAATTAACGTCCGAACACACAAACTAAACTCTGCATGCCAGATTTTTCACTGCATCTGTGGCCAGGTGGCTGTATATTATGCAGAATAAAAAAAATCAGAATGGTGGAGTGGGCATTGCAGAAATCCTTTTGCGTAAGGCAACCAATCATGAAAGGGAAGGTCCTTCCCTGGAAGTGGAAAGCACCGAGGAATCTAGCTTTTAACTCTTTTGCAGGGCTGCTGGATACGGTAATCTGACTATCTGAGGGTAGAGAAAAGCACAAGCACTAATATCACTTTTGAGTGCATAAGATCACTGTGGAGGAGGGTGAACCACATAGTTAACTGAAAAAATTTAATACTCACTCTGTCCCAAATTACAAAATGTTTTGACTTTTCTAGATGTATTAATTTTACTATGTATCTAGATATAAATATATATATATATATATCTATATATGTATCTAGAAATGTCAAAGTGTCTTAGAACGTGGACGGGAGAGTGTAGAATAGAAGGACGATGCCTAAGAACGTTGTGCAAGAACACTCCATGCGAAGCAAGCCCTTCTACCATCTGAACTAGTGGCATGTTCGGCTGGTATTAAAAAGCCGGCTGATAAGTCAGCTGAAGCTGATTTATTGTGAGAGAAAAATACTATAGATTTTAGCTGATAAGTCGGCTAATAAATTCAAACGAACATTCCCTAGGTCCCCTCGTTGGGAGACACTGACTAAAAAAATCTTATTATGTTTTATAAAACTGTTACGTCACATAGTGTTTTTAGTTGTAAGATGGTTTTGGCTTTTATAGGTATATAATTTTTTGTACAAAAATGTCGTTATATTTTACCCCAAAACAACGTGTGGTTATGACGCCCTCAAACTGATGTAACCTATACTTTTTATTAGCATCAACGAGCTTGTAGCCCATGGAGTGTTTCTTGCAGCACTGTTTCCTTGATTCAGAACTAGTAACGACGATGCATGACAGCAATCATAGCAGCAAACTAGAACTCAGAAGGGCTTGTGCTTTTAAAAAAAAGAAGTGCTGATGCTTCGACTAGCGACCAGCAAGCAGTAGCGACAGGCTAATTGCCCATGCCAACCAGCGGGCTCACGTTGACGTGTGCATGACCGACCACCTCCATTCCATGGACGACTTGGATCTGCAACGCACCTATGGCCACTTGCAATTCTAAATGTCAAATACAGTAGTAGATCGTTGTAGCTTGTGGACTCATCTGTATAGGCCTCTGGATGCCAGTGGCAAGCTGTACTAGAATCAAATATATACAGAGAAAAGAATCAATGAGAGTTACCTATGGACCTCCATTAGGTCTTGTTTGGATGCACATCACGCTGATATTGAGAGGCACCGCTCCTACCGCCAACGCCCGCTCCTGCCGCCGCTCACTCCTGCCGCTGCCGCTGGCGCTACCAATGGCCGCTCCTCTTGCTGCCCCCGCCATCCACCCCGATTGCAGCAGACAACGGACGCGGGACGCCCCAACCCCTAGGACCGCCGCCGCAGCCCTGCTCCACGCCGCCGTAGATCCACGCCGCAGCCGCTGCACCGGCGCTAGCTCCTCGCTACCGCAGCCCCGTGCCATCATCTTTGGTGTGGAGAGAGATGGATTTTGGGGTGGGATGAATCGGGGAGGATGACAATGAAGGGGAGCTGATGGGAATGGACGACCCTGACCCCCGAGCCTTCGCTGCCCACAGCCCCCCCTCCCCCCCGCAGCCGCCACCGCCCACAACCATGGAACCGAAAAGCCAGAAGCCCCATGAAATGATCAAGATGCCCAAGAGAGGGGTGAATTGAGCTAATTCTAAATTTCTTTGCAATAATTAAATCCTATGGTTAGCCCAATTAACCCCTTGTGCCTAGAAAGTGTTTCTAATTGTTCTACCGCACAAAAGACTTATAACCTAAGTCCCAATCCTACTCTAGCATGGTAATTCTATGAATGTAAAGACAAGAATTGAATTGCTCAAAGTAAATGCTCAAAGTAAATAGAGAAGGAGGAACGCGGCGATGTTTTGCCGAGGTATCGGAGAGTCGCCACTCCCCACTAGTCCTTGGTGGAGCACCCGTGCAAGGGTGGAGCTCCTCCTTGATCCGCGCAAGGATCAAGTGCTCTCTACGGGTTGATTCTTCGACACTCCATCGCGGTGAATCACCCACAACCGCTCACAACTTGAGTTGGGTCATCCACAAGCTCTCCGGATGATCACCAAGCTCCCAATCACCACCAAGCCGTCTAGATGATGGCGATCACCAAGAGTAACAAGCATGAACTTTCACTTGACCACGACAAGCCTAATGAGAAGGGTGGATGCACACTTTGCTACTCTTGATCTCACTAATGAGGGCTCTCTTTGGGATTCTCAAATCTCAATCACCTCACTAGAACCTTACTCTTCTTGACACTCTCTAAGGTGTTTCTCAGCTATTGGAATGAGCAAAAGTACCCCCACACATGAATGGAGGTGGTATTTATAACATGGGCTGAAAAACGAACCGTTATGTGACTTTACGGGGTGACCGGACGCTCCGGTCATGTTGACCGGACGCTCCGGTCAGTACACCCAGAACTCCAGTGTTTAAAGTGTGATCGGACATGGCCAACGTCCGGTCATGATTTTCCCTCTCTAGAACCTTACTGGAGTCGACCAGACGCAGACTCTCAGTGTCCGGTCACTTCACCTCTCAGCGTCCGGGCGCGCCAGATGATTTCACCTTGGTCAAATGAACTGACCGGACTCTGCGCCAGCGTCCGGTCACACCAAAGCCAGCGTCCGGTCAGTATTTGACCCTCCATTCACTTCCAACTCTCGATCATATGTGAATGAAGTTTGCTCCATTGGATCTAAGGGCTATTTTGGAGCTACCTAGTGCTAGTTTTAGCAAGTATGCACCACACCAAACCCACTAGACTCACCTAGGTCAAGCTATCCTCATCCATACCCCCCTTAATAGTATGGCCAAAGGAAAAACAAAGTCCAAAACTACTCTAAGTGTCTCTTCAACTCCAAACGATACTTAGAACTAGTCCATCTTTAACCTTGTCATCCATCCTTTGAAAATCGAAATGATTTCCATCGTAGGGGCATGACCACCATGATTACCCAATCGATCTCTATTACCATGACCTAACTTAATTGCCTCTACAAAACACACGTTAATCATAGTAATCACGTATTGTCATTAATCACCGAAACCCAACTAGAGGCCTAAATGCTTTTAATCTCTCCTTTTTGGTGATTGATGACAATACCACCTCGAGTATGTGAAAGAGATGAGGTTTTTAACATGCTTGGTTCATATAAGCTTTTGGCAATAAGAACAAAAGTGTTAGGCAAGCTTATATGACCCAAACCAATATGATGTACTCAAAAGATATGAAATAAGCGTGAGTACAAGTAATAAAGCTCATTTGCATCGAGGTAAAACGCGGAAGCAAAAACAAATGAGCATTGCACAAGTGATATGACATATAAATAATTCAAAGTAGAGAGCACACATGTCATATATCACGATCACGTAGATATCACTATCACATAAATAAAGTTTAATGCATAAAAGTAAACACACGACGAATGCATAATAGTGTATCACGCATAAAACTCCAAATGTAATAGATAAGCTAATATAATAACTAAGCCCCCCCTAGATATGTCGCTCCCCCTAAGGCTAACATACTCGAACCCTATCCCCCTTTGGCATCAAACACCAAAACCTAAGGGTCGGTCGGCGGGGCTGCAGCGGACGAGCTGGGCGCTGAGGTACGAGGAGCGAGCTGGAACTGGGTGCCATCATCATCTAATCCTGAGCTCTGAGCTGTCTGACTCTCTGTAGCTGGAAGCGATGCTGAAGCAGTCTAGGTCGGATCAGGAACTGGAGCTGCTGTAGGCTGTGCTGGTATGATAGAAGCAGCCGGCTCTGATGATGCCACTAAGGAAGGGAGCGTCTCTGTAGTCCCGGTGATAGGTGCAACTATAGAAGGACCTGGGACATGTAAGTATGGAGGAGTAGGCTACCCGATCAACTCACTGAAGGAAGCACCAAGGCTCTTGGACACTGTAGTCTCTAGCACTAGCAGCGAGGACGTCTCAGTCGGTGTGAAGCCCGTCTGAAAAGGTGTGAACTACGGGGCTAACACTGGCAAAGCAAAATACTAGGACACCTACTCTATAGGTGAAGCAAACTGTGCTGGTGGCTGTCCCTGACGCTGAAGCCCA